AGTCATTTTATTAATTCTTATGTTTACATGTTGATAAATTTAATAGAATTAGATAGAAATCCTTATGATATACATTTGCAATAATGATTGATTGAAAGATGTGAGATAAACACTAATGCATATAAATGATATCATTAAACATCCTAAGTCGTAGCATTATCAAGAATAGACATTGATAATATGCGAATAGACTTGTGATCGCTATGCTCATACTATATGATAGCAATAAGAGATCTCACACCTATTAGCAAGGTGATGCCAAAGCAAGCATTTATGCGATTTATGTTATAGAACATATCATTAGACTTGACTCGCCATGAGAACCCATTTGGTTTTTATCTATGGAAATCTTATATGAGATGATTACAAATGGTCCTTACACTCGAATTCTTCATGGTTGTCTCATTGGAGGACTTATGCACTTTGACACTCGTTTTGATGGATCCATTAATGGGTTGCATGTTGACGATTCATTGGGTGCCTTATGAATCCAATGGAGGTAGGTGTATAACTAAGATAGGATATGTCATTCCTTGTATGCTAAAGGAGTTATCACATTACACTTCGATAAATGTCTCGCTCGAGAAATCTATGGCCATAGTAGGAGTACACCAATAGAGCATAGTTAGTTTACTCTAAAAGCTAAAACATTTAAGAATCGAAAAAAACTTATGTGATCATAATCGAACAAGGCTTATAACCAAGTTCAAGATCACACTCGTGATAAGTTGATATGAGGACCGAATTGTATGGTAACCATGCTCGTGAAAGGTAATAATAGATTAAATAATCCTCCTAAAGAATTGGGTAGTCATGATGTCTTGCTAGAGGCCAATCTTGATTTATATATTAAGAGATAAAAGAGGAGTCTTTTGTTCTTGATACATTGCTAATATATCTACGAGCCTATTGAGTCACACGCATAAATTTAAGTATTCATATTATAAATAAAAAGCAAAGATATTGGAAAAAGTTTTCAATTATGAAAGTTTCCTATTTTGGAAAGGGTTCCCAAAGTGGAAAGTTTTCTAAAATGAAAAGTTTCTTAAAATGAAAAGTTTCCTATTTTAGAAATTGGTTTTCTAATTTGGAAGTTATTTTCAAATTTGGAAATAAAGAACCTAAAAAGAAAGGAGTTTCCTAATTTAGGTTAAAAGGTATTTTGAAAAATTGATTCCTAATATGGACCCTATCTAAAATAATCTAAGAATATTTATTTGGATAGTCCAAAGAAATTAATTTGGCTAAAATGGTTTTGGCCTATTAGGTTTAATTAAAAGTCTTAAGATATTTTAGTGGAAGGATAAATATAATCTTATTAAATAAGGATGAACGTATTAAATACAAACATCAAACTTATAGGATAAGATTGAATGTTTTAAAGATAATAATCAAATAGTCCACATGTAAAAATAACTCCTCATCCTTAGAGGATAAGAAAGCAACAACCTAGAGTCCTAAAAAGGACTTAATGTCTCCCCTCTCTTTGTCCTTAGAGGATAAGGAAACTTTTCCCCTATATGTAGGAGGAGAGGTGCAGCATAAAAGGTGATGAAAAAAGATAGAGAGAGTATTTGACTAAAAATAAAGAAAAGAAAGAATAATTCGGCCGACCTAAAATTAAAATAGGGCACATGACCAAAAGAGAAAATAAGGAGAAAGTAGTTTTCTCTTAAACCATAGCAAGCTATACTCTTTCCTTCTCCTTTAAAGTTGTCACAAAATTGCTCGAGATTGATTTCTATGGGAAATACTAAATCGGAAAAGGTGAAGCTCACACCCCATTAATTTTGAGTGCTTTTTGATGAATACTTGGACTGCGTAGACCAGACAATAGAGGTCGGATACTTGGATGACTTTTCCGAAAAAGGAATTTAGATCTGCGCTATAAGAGATAATCCTTTATATAGCTTAATATTCATGTATGTATGATTAGTAGATTTAACGGCTTGATCTTGGTCCTTTAGATTGAGGAAAAAATTGTTTTATTCCACACCTCCATAGGATTTATGATTCTTCATGAGATTGGTGTTGACTCTTATAAGAATAGTGTCAGCCGTGGTGGTGGGGTAGGCGGTGGTGGTTTTGATGATTGTACGAAAGAAATTGGTTAGGCTCTTAAAATTAGGCATTTGGTGGTGGATTAAGCAGCGAGTTGTTGGAGGTCTTAGGTGGTTTCTCTTACAAAATTAAAAAGCATGAGGAGGGTTTTAGCCTTTCGTTTTGGTGACATCGAAAACCCTTTCTTTTTTTAGTATTTTCTTTTCTTTTTATTTCGACAAACGTAACTATTTTGTTACAAATAATAATAATAATAAATTTCCTTACTTTTTAACACCTTTTGAGCTAGCTTATGAACATTGAAACTAACTTCTATAAAATCGGATCCGATTGGATGATTTGCGTGTGAATGACATGCTTATGATCCGATTGGAGAGGACTTTAGTATTAACATGGGAGAGGTCGGAGGTAATCCGATGATACCTTTTGATAATGTTTGGTATCATGTTAAAAAATATAGATAAATTATTAAAAAAATAATTATTATAAGAGTACTTTTTAAGAATCAAAGTTGATTTTCAAGAATGTTTGGGAGGTGTTTGGTATAGAAATTCTTAAATTACATATAACTAAAAAAATTGGGGGTCGTTTACAGTGATGAGCGAGTACCTCGGCTTCTTTTTTCTTTTTCTTCTTCTTTTTTTTTTTTTTGTCATTGGGTTGACCAGGCAGCCAAAGCTCGGACGTGCCGGACCTTGGCCGCCTCCCTTTTTTTCCCATAGACCCTAGCCTTGGTGCCCGGCATTCTTTTTTTTTTTTTTCCTTCATATATATATAAGGCTCATGATTAATAAACATATTTTTAGGTTACAATGATCATTTTGAAACATTTTTAATTTTTAATTTATTGTAAATTTGTAATAGCCGATAATTTTTTGAAATAATTTTATTTTTTAATAAATTTGTTTTCATATAATTTTATTTCTTAATAAATTTGATTTTTTAGTATATGAATTTTGGGATAAAATTTTACAACGTCAATGTTTTATTTTTTAAAAATATATTATTATAATTTATATATTTTTAAATGAGTGTTTTATTTTTTAAGATATATATATATATATATATATATATATATATATATATATATATATATATATATATATATATATATATAGAGAGAGAGAGAGAGAGAGAGAGAGAGAGAGAGAGAGAGAGAGTCGAAGTATATTTTAGATAGTTTGACTCAATTTTTTTTTTAAATAATGAGTTAAAAAATTCACAAATTTTATTTTTATTTTTTATATATATTTATGCATAATTTACCGTAATCAATTTTGTTGTAGTTTTTATTTTAATCTATTGACTTCAATATATTTTTATAATTTAGGTAGGGTTTTTTGTATATTTATCTATTTATTCTCTATACTCTCAATATTCAATATATATATTTTATTACAAATTAACTATATATAGATTCAATTTATATTAATAACAAAAAAATAAAATTTTCTACCGGCATTATACCATACAAATTGTTAACCCTACATATGTAACGGTTGTCTACCCGCAAGTGTAACACGGATATCCGACTAGTTTCTTACTAAAATATGATTATTAAGAAAATAATTGCTGAAATGTGATATTTGCGTTTGGTTGAAAAATGAAATTTATTGATAATATATGATTATCATATTTGATTTATTCTTAAGAGTTTACGAAGAATAAGAATAAGTTTACTATTTAACTCTTAAAAGTTGAAGTTTCGATTTGGAAATATGATATTTTTTTGTTTAATATTAATGGATGCATTATTAATGATTAAAACTAACAAAAATAAAATGAATTCAACAATTATTTAACTTTATAAAATTATAACTACCAAATAAAATATTATATCTACTAACAAATTAACCAACATACATATCATATTAATCTTTTTAGCATTCAAAATATATATTAAGTGTAATTTATTTCCTAACAAATACATATAAATTAATCACCTAAAATATTTGTGTTATTATAAGTAAAAATAAGGTTGTGCTAGTTAGTTTGAATATAAAAGAAGAGGGTTATTTAAGTAAAATACATATATATATATATATGAAATGCCTTGATCATATATCAAATTTTTATCATTTTAGAAAAGAATTACATATCCAACTTTGTAAGTAATCTAATGTCTTCGGACATTTGAGGTTTTCAAAAATTCAAGATTTTTTGGCTTTTGAATACTATCATTTTTTTTTTTAACAGGGTGATATTTTTATTTAATTATTTATATAAGGATAAAACCAATAACTTTTTAAGGTCTTAAAAATTGATGAAGTCATTCAAAAAATTGACAACTTAAGGAAACCTCCTTCTTGTTTAAGAAAGTATTGCACATGCATGTCTCCTCTTGTGCTTGTATTTTGGATATAAAAAGGATTTTTATAATATATCCAAACTTATGATGATAATATATGCAATTAATTTCATGATACCTAGAAGGATTATTATGATTTACCCTATACATTTGAATACAAAATATAATGTGTCATATTTTCTATCTTTGAATTTTGATTATGTCCAAAAGCTCATCAAAAACACAAACAAAATGCTTTTGAAATTTTTATAGTAGATGTGTAAACAATATCAGTTCATGGGCAAGATAAGAAGAAAAAGAAGTTACGAGAGAAGGAAACGTAAAACGGAGCAAGAGAAGCCAAAAACGAGTATATCACACTTTGATATTCTGGTACAAATATATATATGGTACTGTAGCACATATATTACTATAGCAATACCAATCCAGCTTACAAAAGTATTTCAAAACAAAATCCCACAAAATAAGGAGCTTCACTCCTTTTAAACTAACTGAGGATTACAAAAGATACTTAAAGTATCTAGAAAATTCTCAGATTCTAACAAGATGTCCATAAAGTGTGGCACAACAACAGAGTTATTTCCACATTTTAAGCAGAATGCAGAAGACTTCCTTGTCGATGTGGGGGATCTCATTTATTGATCTTGGACTTCATCTTCCAGAAACGAAAAATCAAGAACTGGCAGATTTCAGAAACAAGAAAAATGTGCGCTAATTGGAGAAGAAACAAGAAGGTACAAACATGAAAAGCAATCCCCACTATATAAGTTACACTGTCAACAAAAGGCTGGTCAGGCAAAGCAGCAACAATTCCTGATAGGAATGCTGTAGCTGCTGATTGAAGCGCTATACAAGTTAGCAGCGTCGCACTTGCCAAGTAGTAAACATAGGACTCGTCGTTAGTAACAACTCCCAAAAATATTATGCAAGCTGCAATTATGGAGCTGGCCATGGCAATCGCGTCCGAGATAATGAACCATTTTAGAGGTTTGCTTGACTCCAGTAGTGCTACGCCTTGCCTGGGGCCAAGATTGTTGTCAAAGCCACCAGGCAGTGTGAAAGCTGCTGCAAATGTTACTGTTGCTATTAGTGTTGCTACCATTAAGAGGGTATGACCCATTCGCTTGTAAGTTTGAGTCCTTGCAATAGCTTCGTGGTCTGTACAATATGGGGGATTCTTTTTCTTGGTGATTCCATTAGATACGGAGCTAAGTTTCCTCCATATGCTTGTGATTATATTCTGCAGTGTTAGAATGAATATGGAGAATGCAGTGTCAGGGTTTTATGTGTAGTTTTGCAGACTAATGCACTTGATTAAAAGCAATTGCTGAAAGATAAGAAATTTTACTTACGCAGCGGTATGTAAAGCATGATTCTCTGATTGACTCATCGATATCGAACACTGACTGGCCACTTACATTTCTGGCTCTTTGATCCACTTACATTTCTGGCTCTTTGATCCACTCTTTCATCCCATATCAAGCACCGCATGATCCATGTTTGTTTTTCAATAGCAGCCAAATGCAACGGTGTGTTCCCACCATTGTCCGCTTGATTTACGAGACATTGTAGTTCAGCCGTTTCCAGCACACATCTAACCACATTTACTTTCCCACTAAGAACGGCAAAATGAAGAACGCTCCTGCCATTTAGGTCCAGAAGTTCTCCAGAATCGGGGCAGTAGTAAATAATTCTTTCTACTACTTTGGCATGACCGTTCTTAGCTGCAACATGAAGTGCTGAACGACCATCTCTATCCAATGCATACGCGATACAGGTATCAAATTCCAGCAATCTTTCAACCGCCTTGTGGTCTCCAAGGGATGCAGCATAATAGAGTGGCGTCCTGAGATGATGGTCAGCTTCTCTGATGAGTTGTGGTTTTTCTCTCAGGAGGATTTCCATGATATCTGACATCACATAGAAAATGAATTATTGAACTACAACAAAACAAGAGCTTCAACTCTGCTTAGTATGCCATTTCAAGCTTGAACATAGTAAGTAGGTTGCATCAGAATCCGAACAATCGCAAAGAAACATATAATACTGAGGATGTGAGCTTGAAAGATAAAATTGGCAGCCATTTAATGTAAAGGAAGTTAATAGAAAGAAGGAATTGTCCAAGCACAGGACACTACCTGAATGCCTCTCTATCACAGCAGCATGCAAAGCAGTTTGGCCCTCTAATCCTCCATGAGCTGAAGATGGAGTTGATATCAGAATCTGATCCAAAATATCCTTCTTCCCTTCTCTAGAGGCAAGAAACAACGGAGACTCGCCAGCATAATTTTCAAAACGAGCCAACTCAGGATCAACCCTTAGCAACAACTGCACAACACTGATATTACCATTCATAACAGCCTCATGTAAAATTGTATTGTTGTCCTTATTTCCCTGCCTCAGTACGTCAAACTTGCCAGTTTTTTCATTTTGAGTACTTCTCCTTTTTGCAGATACGACCTCTTTCACCAGAAAATCAACAATAGAGAAGTGTCCACACCTTGCAGCAACATGTAGAGGACTGTCTCCATTGGAATTCAGCCTCGTAAGCAGAGACCTGCATCTATTATAGATTTCAACAACAACTCCTTTATGTCCAAATTGCACAGCAATATGGAGTGGTGTGTTCCCTTGTGGAGTAAGTTTTGTAAGCAGGCTAGGATTTTCATTGAGAAGGTGTAAGAGAAAATGAATGTTGCCTGATTTTGCAACTTTGTACAGCCTTGAATCCATGAAATCCTAGAGGCAAACAACTACCACAACTCTGTCCGAGCATTCTAGGGTAACTACAAGACGGTTCAGGCTGCAATATGAACGTCTTGACCAATAATTTTTAGGCAAATCAAAATTCAAAGTTCCAACTGACTTTGAATGGTCGGTCAATGAAAGCTGTCTTAAGTTGGAGGATCCTCAAGGCACTAAATATATGCTCAAAGCGTCAGAGTCGGTATCAAATCAACATTGAATCGACCAAATATGTAACCGTTCATCTAATGCTTGAATGATAGATTGATTTATGACTGAATGACCATTTCAACAAAGAAACTTTAATATCAATCGATACTAAATCTATCGTCAGCACTAGAACAGCGGTAGATGATAACATTAATACAAATCTCCAATTTCATCTGCATGATAACAATTTATTTTACTGTCACATTCTAGAAAAAAAAAAAAATTATGACCCCATCATGACTCTTAAGCTGTACCTTGCTTCTTCATCTGGGCAAATGTAATTAGACTTGGAAATTATGGTGTCACTTAATCCAGATGGTTGCCAAAGTGGAAGAAAATAAAGAAATGCAATGACTGGATCAACTAAGAGAACAGAAGTAGATGTATTAACTAATCAGTTTTAATTGTAATGGTAAGTTTTTACCAGAATCTTTACCAATTGATATGTAATCAACTATACAAAGCTCAAAAATTTCAGTCATATATATATATATATATATATAAAGACCCTCTGCTATAGGCATGACGTCCAGTAAAACGGGGTTGGTGGTGACCGAGAATTTGGAGAGTTTAGGAGAATATCAACAACTTTGACAGAATAGTTGAAGCAGACAAACTATATACTTTGGATTGGCTTAGTTTGGCATTCAAATAAAAGCCCATGAATTGCTGAAGATCAGTGTTATGTTCCTGGGCCAATAAGGGTTTGATTGCATAAAATTATGTGTGTACTGATGGTGAGTCGGGCTAATAGACAATCGTACAAATATCACAGGACATGTCGCATTGCCAAAATTTGCCGAAAATTGAAGGCATCAGTCCTGCCTAATGTGCCAGTAGATAACCCATTTTGTCCAAGTCAATTTTGATTGCTAGTGAATTTAAATCTTGAAGTAATCTTGTTTTGAATTTGGACTGAAATGCATAAATTGCATTCTTTTTGACGATCTTTAAGTCCTGACATACGACTGAGGTCCAAATTTGAAAAAAAAATAATAATAAATCGCAGCAAACGACAGCCACAAAGTCATGTACATTGACAGTAGGAAACTAGCGTCAAGGATAGGAAATAATAAAATATTTAATCGCCGCCCCAATCAACCAATAAGAGGCAGGATTTGGTCCTGCAAAAATGGGTTCCCTTGCCATGAGAGAACGGAGAGAGACGGCTTCCATTTTACCTACTGATTCCCCTGTATATCTTCATTACGCTCTCGCATTTCACCATTAAGAAAGCCAATCTATTCAGGCAGAAAAGTCCGTGATTTGAAAGCTGAAAAGTCCATTTCACAGTTTCCTTCACACAAACCTTACAAGTTCTCCACAAACAAAGCCAAAGCTATTCTTGGTGGTTAGCCATAACCAGACCTGTAAAATTCCTTGTCAGGCCCTCACTTATAACTCCATAAGCCAAATGCCATCACTAGAAATCCTGTGCATTGATTAAAACTGGGAAAAACTGTCATTCTCATGCAACTGTAGTGAACTTAAAAGAACAGGGGAACAAAAAGAATGGATTGATTGAATGAAGTCATACCATCTTAATAAAGAATCCTGATAATAATAATAATAATAATAATAATAAAAGGCTGGATCTGGTTCAAGAAATAAAACGGAGAACTTTTGTTCGGGATGACACAGGAAGATGGAGAAGGGGGAGACGCAAAAAAATAATAATAAATAAATATTATAATAATAATAATAATAATGTGGGTTTTATAAGCACTGGTTTTACAAAACATGGCATCCTGGTTCATGAGAAATCAAATGTTTTTGTTTGGGTTTGTTTATTTATTTTGTACTACATGGATCACCAGAGAAATTTCAATAAAAGCTACAATGAGAGAATTCGAAAAGTTTGTTTGATGGCCCTTTAAAATATTCTTGAGGCAAAGAGATAGTTTATGGATCCTACCAATCGAAATTTCAATATGAGAACTCATGATGGCGGCAACCTTGGGACATTCTTGGATGTTTACATGCCTAACTGATATCTCTACAAGCTGACAGGTCCGGGACATACAGTCTGTCTTGTCTTGTCAACGCCTATATTTCTGGAATTGATTACTGCCTAGATGCTCTTAGTGCATCGGCATGGCAAATGATAGGTTAAATAGTTATTGGAACTGGTATGAGTAACTTGCTTTTTTGGTCCAATAGAAACTTCAACCGGCCTAGTGCTACACAACAAGAGGTAGCCATCCTGTCCCTAAATTCCTATGCCACCCTTCTTGGGGTTTACACCTTAGTCCTCAAGTGAAAAGACGTAGAGGTTGGGGAATGAGTAATTTATTTGGTTGGAAATTTAAATTGACTTGAATAAACAAGATTACAGAGTGGAAAATAACCAATATAAAAAAAAGCTGTTTTGTCAATTATTGATTCTTGGAAGGTCTATCTCAACTTCTATTCATGGATGTTGAATTGTTTCTCTCATGGAAAGATCGATGAATGAAGCAAGAGATATGAGCAGCTTGTTTGGCTTTTGCGCTGTTTTAAGCACTGCATTCTGAACAGGTCCTCATCTATATATTGTTGAAAATTTTCTGTGCCAATAGAGAAAATGGAATATATAAGAATATTTGTACTCATTTAGGAGTTTTCTATGTTGTCTTATCCTTCATGGAAAATGGTTGTGACAGTTGGCAGATTATGAGAGATGATCTTCAAATTGAAAGCTTGCTGACGTCTTTCTTTGTTCCTAAAAACCAAAAAGGGACAACCTTTTTCTCCTTGTGATCTTTAGATGGACACCAAGATTATAGCACGGCAAGGCAATCATAAATTTGGTTGTATTTTCTGTATCGTTGAACGCATATATCTGTCTGAGTTTCATGTTCGGTATGATTCCAAATTGAACAAGTCATTGCAAAAAAAAAATAAGGTTGCTTTGCTAATTTAAGGATGCCATAATGTTTTTTGGATTAGAGAAAAACAGAAAAAGTATAAACTGCAGTTTTTTCTGTCTTACAGGTAGTTTGAGGTGAGAACATTTATCAGAAGAAATTTTATGTTAATAAGATGTCATCTACCATTTCATGTTACAACAAATTTTTTTCTTACATTTATTTTCACTACACTTTAACAGCAGGAGGGGATAAATTGACCAGTTCTTCAGCAACACAGAGAATTTGTAAGCCCTAAACTTTCTGTTTGAAGATACCTTCTCGATAATAGGACACAAAAAGACTAAATTTGTCTGCAGTCTTACAAGCATCATCCTTGGCAAATGCCTGACATTTGATACGATGACAAGTCTTTAGGTATAAATGACATGAGAATGAGAATTTGTAAATATATTTTCAGTTGAAAAATACAATACCAAGGGGCAACAGATCATATCAACTGTCTATAATGTACAGATGTCATACGCCCGTTAGTCGAGCAAAATTCTATGGTCCCACCTAAGAGGCTTGCAGATGCAATGAACATATTTTTTTTCTGCTTTAAGAAATAGGAAAATGCTCACCAACGGATATTTGCTTTACTATAATTTAGTAGGAGTAGCCTGTTTTTTTTGTTTTTGACAGGAGATCATAGCTGCAGGCTGAAAGCAAACAAGAATGAAGAAGTGTGAAATCAAATCAGAGCGCCGCCAAGAAGAAAACAAATTCAAGTAGGTACACATACCTCAGAATCATCAAACCAAGGTCACTGTCGTTTATTACTAAAATATGGGATTTGATTGTCATATTTTTCTTCAAAAATAGTGATAAATAATAAATCTAAGCAACCTTTTGGGCCTACAAGTAGACAAAATAAACAGTACTCCAAAGAGAAACATGACGGCTAGCAACAAGATTGTTTTTAGATTCCGTGATTCCCTGCCGAAAAGCGAGTGCCGGCAAATTTACTAAATGCGTTTGGCATTTGAATAAGCACGAGATTATAACGAGATAAAACAATGCAAGAGAGGGGACAAGCAAATAATTAAATATTCCTGGTTCTACTTAACAAAGCATATAAAAAGCAATCTATATTTTGAAATTTAAGTATTGATGAAGTTAAGGAAACCATTGAAAGTTTCATAATTCTCCAAGAAGGAGCATAGACAATGGGCGGCAAAGATAGCATGTTTCGGTACGCTGATAGCAAAGACAAGGTCTTGATGTTCTTTGGGGTTTTGGGCAGCATTGGAGATGGATTGCAATATCCTCTCACAATGTATGTTCTTAGCCATGTTATCAATGAATTTGGAAGCTCCGGTAAATCTGTGTCTAATGATACCATAAACAAGGTAAGCTATAACAATCCCTTCCATTTACCCTTTTTGCTATAGAGAAGGTTGCACCAGTGACATTACTTTATGAGTCTATAGTAGTAGTAAAAACCCAAATGAGGGACATGATATGGGATATGTCTTAAACAGAAGTAAAAACCCAAATAGGGACATGACATGGATATGTCTTAAACAGAAGGTTTCCAACCTTCTATATTGGGAGAATTGGTTCAGATTAATGACATGAAAATATGTTTTTACTTGTGAGGGAAGGTTTTGACTCTATATATTTTAACGAAAAAGTATATATCCAATATAAAAAATAGAGTATCATTGAAGAATCAGATAATGACTACACAGTGCTTCTACCTGCATAATTGCCTGTAAAACTTATTGGTGTAAATTCATGTATTAGGCTTGCAGAAATGCTTTAAAGTTCCTCTTTTAATTGCATGAAAACATTTTTTTTTTTTAATCTTAATATGGTGGACTATGACATGACTCATTTGAATTCATTTTAATTCCATTTGTCAGTATTCTCTCAATCTGCTGTATGTTGCAATTGCTGTTGGACTTTCTGCTTTTGTTGGTGAGTTCACTCTTAGTAACTCTAATGAACCGCTTTCAGTTTTCCAAAATGAAAAACTCTAACAACAGATGCAGGGAAGCTAATTGTGTTCTTTGTTGCATTTTCGTTAATATTTACTTATGCAGAAGGACTGTGTTGGACAAGAACCGCGGAGAGACAGACTTCTAGAATGAGAATGGAGTACCTGAAATCCGTCCTCAGACAAGAAGTTGGATTCTTTGACACCCAAGAAGCTGGTTCTTCCACCACTTATCAAGTTGTCTCAACAATCTCTAATGATGCCAATTCAATCCAAGTAGCAATATGCGACAAGGTTTGAGTTCATCATTGTTCTTTCCTATAATTCATTCGCACATAAACCTCAGTTTTGAAACCCCATGGAAACAACTTCAAAAGGGCTTATAGTTTGTTGGCACAGAGTATATATTGATTAAGATTTAAGGGTTGCTACAAATGCCAAACCTGACAAGCATAGCCAAAATTCCAACCAAAAGGAAGTTATATGCGAATTTTGGGTTAAGAATTTAATATTATTCAGCATAAAATGTTCTGCCAAATACATGCATATTTATTTTAGCCGGTTGACTTGAAATCTGTCATAGGAAAAAGTCATAAAAATTTTAGTCACTTGCTTAAGCATCCATCCTTGGAGCATGATCTACTACTATATGCAATGTGTAATCTAGATAAAACTATTGTCTTCATCTCCACGCTGTGATTTTTATTATTAGATGGATGTTTTGCTGCTTGTAGATCCCCAATTGCCTTGCATATATGTCAACCTTCGTCTTCTGCCTCATGACTTCTTACATGCTATCATGGAAGCTTGCACTGGCAGCTCTTCCTCTCACATTGATGTTCATTATCCCGGGACTTGTATTTGGGAAGCTCATGATGGATGTGATAATGAAAATGATCGAATCGTATGGAGTTGCTGGCGGTATAGCAGAACAAGCTATTTCTTCGATAAGAACTGTATATTCATATGTAGCAGAGAATCAAACACTTGATAAGTTCAGTCGCGCACTTCAACACACCATGGAATTAGGAATAAAGCAAGGTTTCTCAAAGGGACTGTTGATGGGGAGCATGGGAATGATTTATGTAGGCTGGTCTTTTCAGGCTTGGTTCGGTACTTATTTGGTCACAGAAAAAGGAGAAAGAGGTGGTTCTATCTTCGTAGCTGGAATCAATATCATCATGGGAGGACTGTAAGCTCCTTTTGTTTCTCTTTTTCCTCTTTTACTGATAATTGCTTTGCAGCAGACTAACTCAGTTTTTTTTTTTTTTTTTTTTTTTTTTTTTTTTTTGTGCAATTGCAGGAGTGTTTTAGGTGCACTCCCAAATCTAACTTCCATCACAGAGGCAATGGCTGCTTCTACTCGTATCTCTCAAATGATTGATCGAACTCCTAGTATAGACTCGGAGGATAAGAAGGGCAAGGCTTTATCATATGTAAGAGGAGAAATTGAGTTTCAGGACATATATTTTAATTATCCATCAAGGCCTGATACCCCAGTCTTGCAAGGGTTAAATCTCAGAATTCCAGCTGGTAAGACGGTTGGTCTTGTGGGAGGCAGTGGTTCTGGAAAGTCCACAGTCATTTCATTGCTCCAAAGATTTTATGACCCCAACGAAGGAGAAATTCTCTTGGATGGACACAAAGTAAATAGACTTCAGCTCAAATGGTGGAGATCACAAATGGGTTTGGTTAATCAAGAACCAGTCCTCTTTGCAACATCTATAAAGGAGAATATATTGTTTGGGAAAGAAGGAGCCTCGATGGAAGATGTGACCAATGCTGCCAAGGATGCAAATGCTCATGACTTCATAACTAAGTTACCAGATGGATATGAAACTCAAGTAAGCTCTTTTTAAAAAAAATAAAAAATAAAAAATAAAAATTTATTTGTCCAATTCATTTCAGAAGCTCTTCATATAAATTTTGATAGAACGAAACTGTAAATTTCTAATAACAGGTCTCTGATGTTTCTTTCTTAAGATAATGACAAACAATTAATTTACGAACTTTTGTTTCCATGCATGCAACTCAAATTCAGTAGGCTAAGGTAAAAAGCTGTTCTTAATTTCCTAGACATTTGTTCAAACTTGTTATGTTTGGCATTTAATTCAGTTAAGTAGAAGTTCTGAAGGATACAAAGGTTACAATGTAAGATAAAGTAGTTCCTAATTTAAACACAATCTTCATGTTTGGTGAATTCCTCAGGTTGGTCAATTTGGATTCCAACTATCTGGTGGCCAAAAGCAGAGAATTGCCATAGCCAGGGCTCTGATCAGGGACCCCAAAATCCTGCTTCTTGATGAAGCAACCAGTGCACTGGATACACAGTCTGAAAGAATAGTTCAGGACGCAATTGACCAGGCATCGAAAGGAAGGACAACAATCACCATTGCGCATCGCCTCTCCACAATCAGAACAGCAAACCTGATTGTGGTTCTTCAAGCAGGGATAGTAATTGAATCAGGTTCTCATGAACAGCTAATGCAAATAAATGACGGACAAGGTGGGGAATATTTCCAGATGGTGCAGTTGCAGCAGATGGCAGCACAAAATGAAGCTTCTAATGATGTCAATTATCACAATGACGGACATAGCTTCCATAAGATGAGTCCTGCACCAAGTCCACTTAGTGTGAGAAGAAGCACTCCTGGCACTCCAATGTTAAGCCCCTTCAGCCCTGCATTCTCTATGGGCACCCCTTATTCCTTCTCAATCTATGATCCGGCCGATGAAAGTTTCGAAGATGACTTTTACCAACTGAATTATCCGGCTCCTTCGCAGTGGCGTCTGCTGAAAATGAATGCACCAGAATGGGGAAGTGCCTTGATTGGATGCTTGGCTGCAATAGGTTCTGGGGCAGTTCAACCTATTAATGCTTACTGCGTGGGATCACTCATATCAAACTACTTCCTCGCCGACAAATCCGCCATCATGCAAAAATCCCACAGACTGTCCCTTGTTTTCTTAGGCATCGCTGCTCTAGATTTTACCACCAGTCTCCTCCAACATTACAATTTCGCAGTTATGGGAGAAAAGCTGACAAAGAGAGTACGTGAGAAACTGCTAGCAAAGCTTATGAGTTTTGAAATAGGGTGGTTTGATGATGATGAGAACACAAGTGCAGCAATTTGTGCAAGGCTAGCCACTGAAGCCAGCATGGTTCGATCCCTTGTTGGGGACCGGATGTCATTGCTGGTTCAAGCATTCTTCGGGTCACTGTTTGCTTATACAGTATCGCTTATTCTCACGTGGAGGCTAGCCCTTGTGATGATTGCAGTGCAGCCATTGGTTGTTGGGAGCTATTATTCAAAGAGTGTTTTGATGAAAAGTATGGCAGGAAAAGCACAAAAAGCTCAGAAGGAAGGAAGTCAACTGGCAAGTGAAGCTGTTATTAACCATAGAACCATAACTGCATTCTCTTCTCAAAGGAGAATGTTGGGGCTTTTCAGAGCCACCTTGAGAGGTCCCAAAGAGGAGAGTTCTAGACACTCTTGGCTGTCAGGTTTTGGCCTGTTTAGCTCGCAATTTTTTAACACAGCTTCTACTGCACTAGCTTTCTGGTATGGTGGGAGGCTTTTGATTGAAGAGTTAATATCCCCGGAGCACCTTTTCCAGGCATTTTTGATACTGCTCTTCACTGCTTATGTCATTGCAGAAGCTGGAAGTATGACCAATGATTTATCGAAAGGAGGGAATGCCATTCGATCAGTGTTTGCAATCCTAGATAGGAAAAGCGAGATTGACCCAAATAACTCTCGGGGTGCTTCGGACATCAAAAAGAAGTTAAAGGGCCAAGTAGAGCTCAACAATGTCTTCTTTGCATATCCAACTAGACCAGACCAAATGATCTTCAAGGGGTTGAACCTTAAAATAGATGCAGGGAAGACAGTGGCACTGGTTGGGCCAAGTGGTTCTGGAAAGTCTACCATCATAGGACTTATCGAGAGGTTTTACGATGCCATGAAAGGAACAGTTCTTATTGATGGACAGGACATAAAGAGCTACAATCTGAGATTGCTGAGATCTCATATTGCATTAGTCAGTCAGGAACCAACACTGTTTGCTGGCACTATCCGTGAAAATATTGCCTATGGTAAAACGGATGCAAATGAACATGAGATACGGAAGGCTGCAGTTCTTGCCAATGCACATGAATTTATCAGGTATGAATATTATTATAGTCAATCTTAAAAGAAATTTCATCCTTAGCTTTGTTACAGAGTAGAATTAATTTTCCATCCAAAAGAAGTAGAGGTTTTAAGGGAAAAAACTAAGCTGTCTAAGGATGCATTATGAGATAAATTAACAAAATGTACAAGTAAATATTCTTTGCCTGGTTTTGATCTGAGAATCTGCAAATTGAAGCTATTAACCTCTCATTCGATTTTATATGTGCCTTTCTTGCAGTGGAATGAAAGATGGGTACGATACCTACTGTGGAGAAAGAGGAGTTCAGCTGTCAGGAGGTCAAAAACAAAGGATAGCACTTGCTCGTGCCATAATCAAGGACCCCTCAATCCTCTTGTTGGATGAGGCAACTAGTGCACTTGACAGTGTGTCAGAGAGCTTAGTTCAAGAGGCACTTGAGAAGATGATGGTTGGCAGAACATGTGTAGTCATCGCTCATCGGCTCTCAACGATACAGAAATCTAACTGCATTGCTGTTATCAAGAAGGGAAAAGTTGTGGAAAAAGGCTCACACGGTGAGCTAATGAAATTGGGTCATGGAGGAGCATACCACTCTCTGACAAAACTACAAAGCTGAAGCTCCTCTTATCATTGAAGCAGAATGATTGTTCTTATAAGAATTCCTTCTTAACAAATAATCAGGTGATAACCTGGAGGTTAATGGGTCCTTTATCTAGCAAATATGACCCTACGGCATTGATTGTGCCTTGTCGATCCCCCATCCTTTTATCCTTTTCCATGTAAAAGGATTTTGTAGATGTTTACATCCACAGTAGGTAGCTCTGCAAGCTGACAGGACTTGGCCTCTACATCCTGCCTCGCGTTGTTAATTCCTTCTTTTTCTGGGTTCTGTTTATGTTGCTGGAAGTTCTTGTTGCCTAGATTCTACGGAACATCATAGTCAGTGTTTTGTCCTGCTGTAGTCCTCTGTTGTCATGGAAAATAGGAAGCCAAGCGGTTACTAGATAATGTAATGAGTAACTTAATTGGTTGGATAATTTTTTTTTTTTCATTGGAACAGAAACGATGAGAAAACAAAATTTTCGTGTTTATATCCAATATTATCTATGTGAAAAAAAATTGCCTTTTCTTTTTTAGCTGTTGTTATTTGCTTGGCTGAAGATACTTATTATGCTTATTTACTTTATTGATTCTTGCTACTTTATTATTGTTCCAACAAAAGTTTATACTCAATTATTGGTTCTTGCATGGTCTATCTCATTTTTTTTTTCTCATGGATATGAGTAAAGCAAGAGAAATGGGCATCATGTAAAATGGCATTTGTGTCGTTGATAGAATATGGAAGTAGCTGTTAACAGAAGGCAATAATTCATTTTTGACAAGTTTCTCCTTTTTAATCAGAGCTGAATACAATCGAGTCTGTCGTTTTAATAATTTTCTCTGATGTTTTTATCTTCCATGGACAATAGTTACGACAATCGGCAGTTTATGAGATGATTTTAAAATCGAAAGCTCCATGAATCTTTTCTTTATTTCCTGAAAAACAAAAAGGAGTAACAACTTTTCTACTTGTAATCTAGTAAGTTTACTGCAAGACAAGCAATGGATTTGGTTGTGCTATTGTATCATTGAACATATCTTCCAAAGTTTCATGTTCGTTTTGTTTCCTCAAAAATAAGCTAATGCAGAAGTGGAGTTGCATTGTAGGTTTGTAGGTTTATGGATCATCATGTCCCATGTTGTACTAGAAGAACAAAACAAACTTTATAAAGGGAAGGGTTTTGTCTTCTGAGTATTTTGAGAAGATCTGGAACAACACTAATCTTTCTTTGCAGAAATGGAGTTCTTGCTCCCACTTTAGCTAGAGTTTAACATGAGGAGACATACCAGCCTTTTCTAAACATAAAGAATGTGTAAGATCAAAACTATGTGACTGAATATATCATTAATTTTCATGAATAAAGAAGAGCACTGTCAAAGAAACATTTAAAAATAAAAACTATTAAATCATTGTCCGCATCCTGTGAAATATCATGCATCCTTGGCAAAGTTTTGACAGAAGATGAATTCAAGCAGTTGATTGTTACCGGTGAGAAAAGGTCAGGTATACAGACTATGGATGGCATATGATAAAGATGGCTTTATCTAAATGTCCGATGCAATGAGCACTTACAAGATCTTTGAAAAAAATATAAAGGGGCATAAGAACAAGAATCTAAAAATACATACTTTGTTGACATATTCAATGTTGTGGATAAATGAGACTCTCTGATGTACTCATTTCTCATTTTCTTTCATAGAAGAAGAGCACTTAACAACTAGTTTAAGAGAAAGAAAGTTCTGTTATATAATCATTGGAGGAAAATTCTTAAGTACTTTAGTATCTTGTTTCTACTTTTTTGGCAGGAGATGAAGAACTGCAGGTAGAATTTGTTTGACAACAAAACATGTGCCAAATGAGAGTCCATATAAGAATCAAGCCAAAAGGAAAATAATGAGTTTACAGCCCCTACATGACTATGAAATTGCAAAGAATGATTCTAACCTCATAATCATACATAAAGGACACGATGGTTATTATTTGTTTATTGGATTATAATGTCTATATCTTCAGCAACAGTGACAGAGAATGAATATTAGCAACTTTTTTGGATCAGCATGTGGACAAAATAAACAGTGAACCAAGGAATAGCATGAGGGATATCAACATGACTCTTTGTATTCCTTTGTAACCTTACGACGAACCAAGTGCCGGCTAATTTCCTTGAATATGGCCGGATGCCTCTGGCATTTCATCAAAGTATAATGAGATAAAAACAATCCAAGAAAACTTAAGGACTAGAATATAATTGAACTTGTGTGGTACTACTTAGCAATGCATACAAAAAACTGTCCGAGTTCAAGTTAAATGCTGATAAAGCTAGTTAAAACCTTTTGAAATTTCATCACTCTACTAGGAGAATAGACAATGGGTGGAAAAGATAGCATGTTTCGGTTCGCTGATGGCATGGACAAGTTCTTGTTGTTCTTTGGGGTTTTGGGCAGCGTTGGAGAGGGGTTGCGACACCCTCTCACAATGTATGTTCTTAGCCACGTTATCAATGAATATGGTAGCTCTAGTACATCTTTGTCTAAGGATACTGTAAACAAGGTGAGAAATTTAAAATTCATGCATAGAACTTCAAGAAATGCTTTAAATGATATGTCGATTAACTTTCTGTTTATTCCACTTGCCAGTATTCGCTCAAGCTCCTGTATGTTGCAATTGCTACTGGACTTGCTGCATTTGTTGGTTAGTTCATTTTTAGCAACTCTGCCTAACTACTTTCAGAATTGGTTTTTGCCAAAAAGAAAGTACCATACTAAATCAGTAGAGAAAATGGGAGTTTAACTGTTCCTTTGTTGCATTTTGCTGTTTTTTTTATTTTTTTTAATTTTGACAGAAGGATTTTGTTGGACAAGAACTGCCGAGAGACAAACTTCTCGGATGAGAATGAAATATTTGAAATCAGTCCTTAGACAAGAAGTTGGTTTTTTTGACACTCAAGATGCCGGTTCTTCCACAACCTTCCAAGTTGTCACAACCATCTCCAATGATGCCAGTGCTATTCAAGTAGCTATATGCGAGAAGGTTTGATTTCAGTATTGTTCATCTGCTTTATTCATTGCAGATTAATCAAGGGTTAACATCCTGTTGTGATTCAAGTTTTAAGAATGAATTTTTGCTGCTTGTAGATACCTGACTGCCTTGCACATATGTCATGCTTCTTCTTCTGCCTCGTGTTTTCCTTCATACTATCGTGGAGGTTTACACTGGCAGCTCTTCCTTTTGCATTGATGTTTATTTTGCCGGGACTTGTATTTGGGAAGCTCATGATGAACGTGACAATGAAGATGGTTGAAGCTTATGGAGTTGCTGGTGGGATTGTTGAACAAGCCATTTCTTCAATAAGAACTGTGTACTCATATGTGGCAGAGAATCAAACACTAGATCGGTTCAGCTGTGCACTTCAAAAGACAATGGAACTAGGAACAAAGCAAGGTTTTGCAAAGGGATTGATGATGGGGACCATGGGAATGATTTATGTCAGTTGGGGATTCCAGGCTTGGGCTGGTACTTACTTAGTGACTGAAAATGGAGAAAAGGGTGGCTCTATCTTTGTAGCCGGAATCAATATCATGATGGGAGGATTGTATGTTATTTCTATTTTTCCAACTTCTCTTTGTAGCAGACTAATTAGTCTTCCAATCTTGGAACTCACAGTTTTTATCATTTGCAGGAGTGTCTTAAGTGCACTGCCAAATCTAACTTCCATCACAGAAGCAACACTTGCTGCTACTCGTATTTCTCAAATGACTGATCGAACTCCTAGTATGGAATCAGAAGATAAGAAGGGAAAGGCTTTATCATATGTAAAAGGAGAAATTGAATTTCAGGACATCTATTTTAGCTATCCATCAAGGCCTGATACACCAATCTTGCAAGGGTTGAATCTCAGAATTCCAGCTGGGAAGACTGTTGGTCTAGTGGGAGGCAGCGGTTCTGGAAAGTCCACAGTCATTTCATTGCTTCAAAGATTTTATGAGCCCAATGAAGGAGAAATTCTCTTGGATGGACACAAAATAAATAGACTTCGGCTCAAATGGTGGAGATCCCAAATGGGTCTAGTTAATCAAGAACCAATCCTCTTTGCAACATCCATAAGGGAGAATATATTGTTTGGGAAGGAAGGCGCTTCGATGGATGATGTGGTCAATGCCTCTAAGGATGCAAATGCATACGACTTCATAACTAAGTTACCTGATGGTTATGAAACTCAAGTAAGCTTAAGCTAAATTTTCTGAACTCAAAATGTTATTTCTAGATTACTAGTTTTCGTTAATTTGTTTCAAAAGCATTTCATACATATGAATTTTGTTTCTACGTACGTATGCAACTCAAATTCAGTAGATTAATTGTGGTACGAGGTCATTCCTGATTTCCTAGGCATTACTTCAATGCTGTATGTTTGGGATTAATTTAACTAGAAGTGCTGAAACATGCAAATTGCTTGTAATATAGTGGTAGTTCCTAATTGATGTTCTGAGCTGATTTAAGCAAAACCATCATCAACGACAATATTATGCATGAGATGCAGACTCTGAAAGAACAGTTCATGATGGATTCCACAGGTTGGCCAGTTTGGATTCCAACTGTCCGGGGGGCAAAAGCAGCGAATTGCCATAGCGAGGGCTCTGATCAGAGACCCCAAAATCCTGCTGCTTGATGAAGCAACTAGTGCACTGGATTCAGAGTCGGAAAGAACAGTTCAGGAGGCAATTGATCAAGCGTCGGAAGGGAGGACAACAATCACCATTGCGCATCGTCTGTCCACAATCAGAACAGCAAACTTAATTGTGGTTCTTCAAGCAGGGGAAGTAATTGAATCAGGTTCACATGAACAGCTAATGCGAATAAATAATAGAAAAGGTGGGGAGTACTTCCGGATGGTGCAGTTGCAACAGATGGCAGCACAAAATGAACCTTTCAGTGACTTCACCTATCGCAATGACGGAAAGAGCTCCTTAAGGATGAGTCCTGCTTCAAGTCCAGTCAGTTTGAGAACAAGCACTCCACGCACCCCAGTGTTGAACCCCTTTAGTCCTGCATTGTCCATCGGCACACCTTATTCCTACTCAATCTACGATCCTTCTGATCAAAGTTTTGAAGAAGAGTTAAACCAATTGAAGTATCTGGCTCCTTCTCAGTGGCGTCTGCTGAAAATGAATGCACCTGAATGGGGACGAGCCTTGATTGGATGCTTGGCTGCAATAGGTGCTGGAGCGATTCAACCTATCAATGCTTACTGTGCTGGATCACTTGTATCAAACTACTTCCGCAGTGACAAATCTGCTGTAATACATAAATCCAACATATTGGCCTTGATTTTCTTAGCTATTGGTGCTCTCAACTTCATCACCAGCCTCCTCCAGCACTATAATTTTGCGGTTATGGGCGAGAGGTTGACAGAAAGAGTGCGCGAGAAACTGCTAGCAAAGCTGATGACTTTTGAGATAGGGTGGTTTGATGATGATGAGAATACAAGTGCTGCAATTTGTGCAAGGATAGCCACTGAAGCCAGCATGGTTCGGTCCCTTGTTGGAGATCGGATGTCACTGCTAGTACAGACATTCTGTGGTTCTGTCTTTGCTTATGCACTAGGACTTGTTCTCACTTGGAGGCTAACCCTTGTTATGATAGCAGTGCAACCATTAGTTATTGGGAGTTTTTATTCAAGGACTGTTTTGATGAAAAGTATGGCCGGGAAAGCACAAAAAGCACAAATGGAAGGAAGCCAACTAGCAAGTGAAGCTGTTATTAACCACAGAACTATAGCTGCATTCTCTTCTGAGAAGAGAATGTTGGGGCTTTTCAAAGCCACCTTGAGAGGTCCTAAAGAAGAGAGTGTTAAACACTCTTGGCTGTCAGGTTTTGGCCTGTTTAGCTCCCAATTTTTTAACTCAGCTTTTATCACTCTAACATATTGGTACGGCGGGAGGCTCCTGACAGCAGGGCTAATAACCTCAGAGCACCTTTTCCAAGCATTTTTGATACTGCTTTTCACTGCTTATGTCATTGCAGAAGCTGGAAGCATGACTAATGATTTATCCAGAGGAAGCAATGCCATTCGAGCAATATTTGCAATTCTCGACAGGAAAAGTGAAATTGATCCAAATAACTCATTGGGTACCTCAAACATCAAGAGAAAGTTAAATGGCCAAGTGGAGCTCAACGATGTCTTCTTTGCATATCCGACAAGACCAGATCAAATGATCTTCAATGGCTTGAACCTTAAAATTGATGCAGGGAAGACAGTGGCGCTCGTGGGGCCAAGTGGTTCTGGAAAATCTACCATCATTGGACTTATTGAAAGGTTTTATGATCCCTTGAAAGGAGCAGTTTTTATTGATAAACAGGACATAAAGAGCTACAATCTGAGATTGCTGAGATCTCATATTGCACTAGTCAGTCAAGAACCAACTCTGTTTGCTGGCACTATCCACGAAAATATTGCCTACGGCAAAGAGAATGCAAGAGAATATGAGATCAGAAAGGCTGCAGTTCTTGCCAACGCACATGAATTCATCAGGTATGGAAAATATTGCAGTTAATGTTAAAAAAAAAAAAAAAAAAAAAAAAAAAAAAAAAAAAATCTTTCTCAGCCATGTTCGTATGAGTAGAGCTAATTTTCCAACAAAAATTTATTTGTTTGACGGGACAAAATTCAAAAATCTTTTGCCTGGTTTGATGTAACAAACTGCGAAAGGAAGCTTTAAATCTCTTGTTTGATTCTATTTGTGCCTTTTTGAAGTGGAATGAAAGATGGGTATGAAACGTACTGTGGAGAAAGAGGAGTTCAGCTGTCAGGAGGTCAAAAGCAAAGGATAGCACTTGCTCGTGCAATACTTAAGGATCCATCGATCCTGTTGTTGGATGAGGCAACAAGTGCACTTGACAGTAGGTCAGAGAGCTTAGTTCAAGAGGCGCTTGAGAAGATGATGGTTGGCAGAACATGTGTAGTCATTGCACACAGACTATCAACAATTCAGAAATCTAACTGCATTGCTGTTATCAAGAACGGAAAAGTTGTAGAACAAGGCTCACACAATGAACTTGTAGCATTAGGTCGCGGTGGAGCATACTACTCTCTGACAGAACTACAAACCGGCAGCTCCTCTTAAGTCTTATCATTGAAGCAGAACACTGCAGGAATTGATGAGATTGCTTGCTCTACCTGGAGTCTCGACTGTCCTCGGAGGAAAGTTTAGTCCTTTCCGAGTCCGGAATGGCAAGATTTTCGAAGCAGATTCTGTAAATCCTTAGTGCTGCAACTTAAGTTCAACTCATTTCATACTTCTCAAGCTTAGAAATCATGCTTCTAAATGGGAAAAAATATATATAAATAAATTAAATCATTAGTGTTTGGAGAATCACAATGGTATATAAAACATAATGCGAAGAAAAATTTGTTTTCTACTTGAACTAAATGCCATTTCTTGACGTATGACATATGACAGCACCCTGCTATACCTCATTCTTTGTTGAAAATGTGCAATGCAAGAATGGCCCACAAATTTTTCATCCTTTCACTTCATTGCAGCTTGCATTTTGCACTGCATTCTTGTAATTATCAATGAAAGATGCTCCAAATATTGCAGGAAAAACCATCAGAAGTCAGTTTTGTTCATCTTATATGAGGTACTATATAACACAATGAAATTCCATCGTTTACTTCGTCTACTTTATTCAAGCTACTTTATCATCGATTCTCAGCCTTATCTTTGGTTCGGATGGTAAGTGAATTTTCCTTTTAGATTACTATTTTGGGGGAAATTACTCCCTATATCCTTATATTTTAGAGATTTTATTTCGATTGATAATCTATCTTTAAAAAATTATTTTGTCTCCCATCTATTTTTTATTAGATTTTTAATTATTCTTATCTAGGATTAAATCTAAAAAAGAAAGTGTAAGGGGGAAAAAAAAAGATCTAATGAATTTGATACCCTACTCAAAACCCACCTTTGTTAGCTGGTGAGCCAATGTTAGCTTGAGGATATCTTCAACAATAAATCCGAAATAAAACATGATGATCAGTATATCTGCCCAAACCATCCTAAGCTCAGTACAGATGAAAGTATTTGTGGGCTCTTACTATTCAACCCGAAAAGAAAAAACATTGGCAGATCATATATTTCCGAATAAAGCTGAGCTTTTCAGGATCATACATGTGTGTGAGAGATTTTGAATACCGTGTCCCCCTTCAACAAAGAATAAGCTGCATTGCCAAGAAATTTCAACATAAAAGATAAAACCTCGTAGACAAATATCGTTATATTTCAAAGTTTTCATCATCAGCAGCACGTACTCGGAAATATCCTGCTTAACCCATAATTAAACGCGTCGCACTACAGATTAAGATTACTAGGAAGAGGTTATGATTTCTGGTGAAGTTGCAAGGAAAATGGTAGGCATCTTCTTGTGTCGATCTTTAATCCAAGGCAAAACTTTGGATACAACATCCTTTTCCTTGCTTTGTCACATCAGGATGCGAAGCTCAGCCCACATGCCAACGTCCTTGCGCCTTTTTTTCCCCCTCTTCTTCAATCACTTTTTTTTTAAAAAAAGCAAAATTTGTTGTTATACAGTAACCAAAAGCACCCGCGATTAGGAGATCGTTTTAGCGACCACAAATCTTTTTTTTTTTTTAACCTCTATATGGTATCCTGAACCTAAGACCAGCTTTTCAGTCTCATTAGATATAGATGGTCTTGGTCGAGACTTCCCATAAAGAAATCTGAGATTTGAATCTTTATGACCAAGAAAAAGATTATCCTTTTAAACATCAATCCAAACCCTATTTATTCAAAATCTTGTTGCCCAAAAAAATGGTAAAAAAAAAAAAAAAGAATCACTTTAGTTCACCATTACTTGAAAGCGAAATTTGAAACCCAGTTGCTCAAGTTTACTGGTATTCTCTGGCTTCTGGCCTTTTTAGAATGGAAAACACTCTCTCTCTGGCCTGGTGCTAGTCTGCTAGACAAGATTAGATCAAACACAAAGCACTGTCTTAGTTTCTTGTTCCTGGTAATAAATAAAGATGGGTAACATTTTGCAAGGTTTTCTTTAAACAATATAGAGAATTTGAAATGTTCATTGCCCTCATGTTTTACCAGGATCTACCGCCTGTGAATCATGCACATTATTTTCCTCCTTTATACTTCAGATAGCACTTTCTGATCCCAAGCACAGCCAGATGGCCTGGTCTGCCACTACTTGCAAGATTACAAGAAACGTCCTCATAAATTCTCTGGTAATTGCTGGCTAAAGCATTCCACCCCTGTCACCAGCATATCGTACACAAGTCCACATCTTATCTGTAAAGAAGAAAAGAGAAATGCAACTATTGTCTTTCCAAAATTACTATTTCATTGCTTAAAAGAGCAAGAAAATGACGGCGGAAACACCACCCCTCGAGTACCCATCTCTCAGTATTACTACCAACTAAATTCAGTCAAGTGGCAGCTTGTCCATATGGCTGAATGATTAGAAGTACTAATTAAGAAGTGTGTACTCATGGAGTTTTTGCAGAAAATGAGCATCCACATTCCAAAATATGGTGAAAAGATAATAGTTGCAATGGAACCATTATTTCCAGCTGATATCATCAACGATTCATCAAGCAAACCATATTGTCTTAAATAGAAAATAAAATATCAAGCAAGCTTTGGCAATGCAGACCTTCATTCTGATCTGTGAAAAATCCCTCTCCTATAATCATCAGCTCAAAATTAAATTTTGAGGGGGACTGCATGCAGTCCACAAGTTAAAGCATACGCTCACTCCAATCATTGATTAGCTCATGAAGTTGACTGTTCAAAGAGAAAACTGGTGGTGCCATTTATAAGCTGTCATTTGCATCTGGTAGCAGAACAAACCAGCAATATTTCCACCAGCAAAGAAATTTGAAATCTTCAATACATCAATAGCAAATCCATCACAATATGGTCAAAGCAATTTCAATTCTTCAAAAAAAATAAGAAAAAAAAACTCATGTATAAATTGCAGATACAATCTGTTAGTAACAACAACAACAATTTTCCAAGAAAAACAAAAAATCATCTCAAAATTTAAAGATACCATCAGAAAGTAGAAACACTGCCATCTAAAATCACCAAAAATTAAGTAAGCCTAAAACCAAAAGATTAACAAAAAAAACACCCATTTGCCCACAATAGCTCCTAATCTTATCTGCATTGGACTTGAGCTTTAGATCTTTTGTGTTGACTTTAGCAATGGTACCATTGACTTCTACGTCAGCCCCTACCCTGATCTTATGCCTCTTAGTTTTGAACATAAGAATCTTGTACCTCACTGAAGTAGCCAAATCAACCCGGAAAAGGGCAGTCGCATTCGCCGGAACCGCCCGGGAAACCACACCGCGGTCAATAGTTGAAACGGTACCACTCTTTGTAGCCTTCTTTTTATGCCCCTGATAGAACTTTGGTATAGTGAAATTCCCAAGAACGTGGGACCTATTTGGACTGTCAAAAAATGTAACATTTACAGGATCATAGTACACACCCTTGTCTTTGTTGGTGTTTTTAAGTGTCAGTTCAAACTCAAGGGATGTAAGGTTTCGAGAGCTTAAGGTTTGGTTAAGAGGCATGTTAAATTTGCTAAGTCGAATATCAGGTGATGTAGTACGTAAGCTTAGCCACATAAAAAGCGCTGTTAGGCCTAAAGTGAATATGAAGCTACAACAACACCTACAACAACCACCACCACCGGAATCCGGCATGATGAGGTGGTTTCCAGCGAGGCTGAAAAGGGTTTAAAGGAATGATGGAGGAGATCAAGAAGGAGAGACTGTTTGTGTAGTCCAGAGAATAATTGAAGTTGTGGTCTTTATTTTTCTTTTTCTTTTTATAAAGAAGAAGAACCAGGGGACACGGCGCATGCTGTTGCTATCTTGGTTCACTTAAGGATGTGATAAAGAGACACGCGGGTTGTTTTGGCATTAGATTTTGCCCAATGGGATCTTAGGTTGGTGAGACCAATGAAGGTGTTTGACCATATGGGCCAATGAAGTTGCAGGGCAGTGAGACGAGTACATACGCGGCAGGTGAGTGGATTATTAATTTTACCTGTAATAAATACCAGTGCGTTGTCTTATCGTATAACAAGTAGCTTATATTATTTGATTATTATTATTATTACGAAGGTCTTCTATTATATACTTCCATCTAACTTCCTACAAATTATAATATTGGTTTTAATCATAGGTTCTAGTCGAGATCGATGTTATTATTTTTATTTATTTTTGTCGTTCTAGCATGAAGTAAATCATGATATTTGACTAGTAATTTTCCAAAATGGATCATTATCTTCCAATTAAATGCAAACATGTATAACATGTTAATGTCTCCATATATCTACATTTTGTTGGCCGTTATCGAAAACAACCAGAAGAGATTGAGAAAATGAATAGTAATTGCTATTCATTATCTAAAAAATGTGACAGTTTTGGTACATTTAGCCTATGATATTCTTGTGATTTATTGATTATTTTTAGGTATTCATTTACAAATTTTACATTATGTTTTATTTTGATTCTTGATAATTTTTAAATATATTTTTGATTCTTCGTATTTTTAAAAAATATATATTAGAGCTCATGTTTTCACTTTATTCTATTTTGGTCTATCATTTTTTTTAAAAGATATTTTTTCCCTTCATATTTTTAATAGATTTTTTAGTTCCTCATATTTTCAGATTATATATATATAGGATTATTTATTCTTATTGGTTAAAAATAATCTCTTTAATTTGTTATTTCTTATAAAAAAAAACTTATCAAATTAATTTTTTATTTTTTTATGTAATTTTATTTGTTAATAAATAAGATTTATTTTTTTCTATGTATGAATTTTTAAATAACTTTGCTTTAATAAATAATCAATTAACTAATAAAATTCACGTATTTTATTTGCTTATTATTGATATAATTAAATTTTATTGGAATAAATTTTTTAATTGTTTTTATTACACTCTATTAATTTTAATATATTATTTATATTTAATTTTTAAATATATATATATATATATATATATATATATATATATATATATATATATATATATATATATATATATATCGCATACTCTCATCCACTAAGTATGGTCATGAAGTATAAAAAACATATTGAGATAATTTTTTAATATACTAAGATTAATTTAAATAATTGAAATAATGTTTTAGAAAAATCACCTAATAATTCAAATAGATCTTTTTATATTAATACTATTGATTTATATATATATATATATCAAATGTATATATTTTCAAAAAGTTAAAAAAATATTTTTTAATTAATTTTTATATTGATTGTTGTTTCATTTTTTTAATGCAATTTTATGAAAAAAAATATCAAAACATGTTTAAAAATTTTATATTATATTTTATATTTATATTATTACAGATTTTTATTTAAAAATGAATACATAATGAAGAACAAATCATATTTTTAACAACAAAATTTATTTAAAAAAAATTAATATATATAAATCAAATATATATTTTCAAAAAGTTAAAAAATATTTTTTAATTAATTTTTATATAAATTTTTAATTAAATAAATAAAATTTTTATATAAATTTTTATATAAAATTAAATAATAAATAAATAAAATACAAATTTTTAATTAAATATTATGAAATTACTTAAAATTTTATTTTTTATTTTTAATCTAATATGCTTTAATTTGCTGACATAATAATATAAATTATTAAAATAAAATAAATATATTTAATTCGATGTGACGCATAAATCTAAGAAGAAGCCCAGACCTACTTGAAAGTGAAGTATTGGTAGGTCTCCAAAAGATGTAGAAGCACAAAATCGGATCAGAGGTGCGAAGCTAATTGATTTCTTCAATGTTTAAGGACAGTCATTTATAAAATAATATTAAAATAAATAAGCGTGTGCTTTTATATTTACGGTCCTTGGTGATGCTATTATTATTTTTAGGATAATACTAAAGGTACTTAATTTTTTTTTTAAGAAATTATATTGTATTAAATGATGTAACACCATATAATTGGTGATTCACTATCGATATATTATAGAATAATCACTACATCATTAGATATAAAAAAATTCATGTTTCAGAATTTGAAAATCTTTCTCCACAACAAATATCATACCTCTTAATAAGAAAAATAAATTTGTAAAAAATTTAAATATCCCTATTGTTGTCTTTTCTTCTTGTATGGGCTATTTAACGGGTCTGCCTTTCATGTGCTTGCTTTTCAAATGTCATATTTAGTTTATTCGTTAGGGGTGTTCGTTCGGTTATTCGACTTGTTTTCGAAATATTTTAAATGATTTTCGGTTAACCGAATTTTTATAAAAAATAGTAGACACCGAACCAAAATGTTATTTGGTTTTCGGTTCGATTTTAAAATATTTCGGTTTAGGCGTTTGGTAATTCAATTTTTACTCGTTTTATTTATTTATTTTTACGGATAATTGATTTTATTAAAGTTTATGAAATCCCTATTTAGAGTGAGTTTCTTTTTACTTCATGAACTATTAATTAGAAACCTAAGTTATGTCCAAAAAAAATAACAAATGCATTGGTAGATAAACAAATAATAAATTATTTACTCAAGAAAGCTTGAATTTGAGAAGATAGAAAATCTATCAACGTCTATGTTCTTTTGTATATATTCAGACTTGTAGTAGAGACAAAAAGACTACGTATGAAGCTATGGGACGAAGTACATCTAGGGGAGAAAGGTTTTTCAATTTGGGAATGCACTAAGTGATCTAACTTAAAATATATATATATTAAAAATTGTGGTTTTTCCGTTAATCAAATTTTTTTAAAAAAATAAACGAACCCGAAAACTAAAATTATTTCGGTTTGATTTTTTATTTTAATTTCTAAAAAACAAAAAGCACTTAAATTGATATTTCGATACGATTCGGTTCGGTTATTTGGGTTTCACCGAATAATGAATACCCCTAATCTTCGTTTATGAATATAGTCATTTTGCTGGTAAGAAGACCAACTCTATCAATCTATATCATAATTTGGGTAAATCATAAATTAGTTCCTAATGAATTAATTACTTTTTTATAAAAAAAAAAATTAATTATTTAATCATTATATTTTAAAATATATTTGTAATATAGTTTTTTTTTTTAAGAAATAAAAAATATAAAAATATATATATGAAAAACTTATAAAAAATTAAAAAAATTTATAAAATAAAAATAATATTAAATTAAACATGATAAATGTTGAAGTGCTAGTTATCATAGGTCATGTTAATTAAACTACTGTAATCCAAGATTAATAAATATTAAATATTTGTGTTTCACTCTATCCAACGTAATATGGATTTTAATGTGGGTCCCAATTGGTCACTCTTTCTTATGCTGTTTCAATAATATATTCAACATATGGGTCAAAATATTCTAATCGATGAAAACAATACTAGATAATCTGTTAGAATATTTTTTTGAATAAAATATTCAATACATTTTTTAATAAGTACATTAAAACGCTAGTGACACAACAGTTATATTATTTTAATTAATTAATAACAAACGGCTTTTTCATTTATTCATTCTGCAACGTTTCCATTTCTTTTTACAGTTTGTTTTTCAATTTTTTTTTTAATTTATGCTTTTAATTATTTTTGTTGTTATATTCATCTGTATATATTCAACCATATTCCATTCCCACTCTTATATATAGTTTATAATCCCTCTATCAGTTCTTATGTTTGATGTTTCCAACAATTTTCTATCTGGCCTCTTGACTGACTATGATAGCAAAAACAAACGGTGGGGTAATCTTTTGATTTTTTTTTTTTTTTTTAGTTTTTGGCCTTTTATTAGATAGTATCAGTATGAAATGCAAAGATTTGAGAAGAAAAGTAAAAGAATAAACATGAAAATTAAAAGAATATTTTGTCAGATGTCATTGTTAAGCATCGTTATGTACTTAATAGTCATGCATCACATAAGAATTTTTTGGATACATAAAAATTGACCTCAGGAAATTTTAAAAATGATAAGAGCTGAAGTGAAATATTTGGCTAACTATTATAAAGCAAACCAATATTTTTAATATTCATTTCACTATTTAAAATACTATTTGTACACTCATAAATCGCTATTCCTTTCACTATTCATATTATTTTTTTAACACTTTGGTCCTTAAATTTTTTAACCTTTTTTTTCAATTTCAAACTTTAATTATATTGTGATTTCATCCCATTTTATTTTAGTTTTTTATTAATTATTTTAATTATTTAAATTTGTCATTTTTTAAATTCTTTTTTTTTCAATTTCAAACTTTAATTTGTTAATTATTTTTATTATTTAAAATGTACTACTTTAATTTCTCATTTTGTTAAATTCTCTCTTCTTTTTTTTTTCAAGCTTTAATTATATTGTGATTTGATCCTATTTTATTTTAGTTTTTTTTTGTGAATTATTTTTACTATTTAAAATTTACTACTTTAATTTATCATTTCTTTTTTAAATTCTCATTCAATTAATTTAAAATTATATTTATTGACGAGTTTTGATTTATTTCTCTTCTTATACTAAATCTCTTTGGTTAATCGAAACTTGGTTGGTTATAAGACCAAACACATTTTATTTATGTCTCATTGTTTCGTCGTAAGAGGATACTATACTTGAACAACATGTGGCTTTGTTAAAATTTAAGGTGCTAATAGTATCTCATAGAAAATTTCTTAGTTGAACAAGTTAAAGGTGACTTACCATTCAAAATATAACAACCGATCGTATGCAAGCATGCACTCATAATATATAGGTACATGTGAATGTTCAATCCTACTCCTCGAAATAAAATTGCATGTGTTTGAAAACTTTAGGAAACAAAACATTATTACTTAAGAAAATACATTATTATTTTGTTTCTCTTTTCTTACCAATACTCAGTAATTTTATACTTATATAAGATGAGAGTAGATAAAAAAAAATTAATTATTAAACTATAATTAATTTTAATAAAATTACAACTATTAGTAAATATTATAATATGGCTAATAATCAAGGGAATTGTTGGTATGTGAAATTGTAAGGGCAAAAAAGAAGATGGGCACTCATGATTTTTAGTTTCAAGCATGGTTTTGGTAATTATAATAGTCAAGGGACTTGTTGGATATTGTTGGATGTTAAAGAATAATACAAAATCAATTATATGACCTCACATAACAATTTAAGCTTTTGGGTTGAGATTGTTCTTTGATATAATATCGGAGACTTGATGATCAAATGATCACGAATTCAAATCTAACCACCTATATTTCTCTTTTAATTAATTAAGCATAAGACAAGATATCGGTCCGTGTAAGTTTCAAACTCAAAAGCTTTAACTTAAAAAAGTGTTGAAAAACAAAATAGAGTTGAAGAAATTCGGAGATGAAAACAAAACAACACGAGTGTTTAATTGCGTATAGAAAATATCTCTACAGTATCTTTAAAGTGATTATTGCTCATACTATAATATTATAAGGATTTTGACAATTCACTTCTAGGATTTAACTTTGCACTCACATAATTACAAATAACACTCCTTTAAGAGAATTTCTCTTGAAGTTATAGAATTTTATGAAGAGAAGAGTTTTGAGAGGAGGAGAAGGAGGAGGATTGTAGAAGAAAGAATTAATTTATTTTCTGAACAGTAATCCTCTATTTATAGATTTCTGAAAACTTTTTATAACCAATATAATTGTTGTTAAACTAATTTAATTCAATTACTAACTATTACTTTTTAACTGTCATAATTCAACAATCATATTTTGTTTGAAATTAATTAACTGTCTCAAAAAAATGATTAATTACGAATTTAATTTAATTGTAAAGAAAAAATAAATCCGATGTTAGCTTGAGGATATCTTTACCAATAAATCCGAAACAAAACATGATTATTAGTATTATCTGCCCAAACCATCTTAAGCCCATTAAGGATGAAAGTATTTGTGGGCTCTTACTATTCAACCAAAAAGGCAAAAACATTGGCAGATCATATATTTCAAATAAAACTCACCTTTTCAGGATTGACATGTGTGTGTGTGAGAGAGGGAGAGAGAGAGAGAGAGAAAAAGAGAGAGATAGATTTTGAATACCGTGTACCCCTTAAACGAAGAATAAGTTGCATTGCCTAGAAATTTCGACATAAAAGATAAAACCTCGTACGCAAATATCATTACGTTTCAAGTTTTCATCATCAACAGCACGTACTCGGAAATATCCTGTATAACCCATAATTAAACGCATGGTTAAGATTGCTAGGAAAAGGGTTGTGATTTCTGGTGAAATTGCAAGGAAAATGGTAGGTATCTTCTTATGTCGATCTTTAATCCAAGGCAAAACTTAGGAAACAACATCCTATTCCTTGCTTTCTTCGATCAATCGAAGTCTTCTTTTCACACATCACGGTACAAAGCTCAGCCCCCATGCCAATGTCCTTGCACTTTTTTTTCCTCATCTTCAATCTTTTTTTTTAAAAAAAAAGCAAAATTCGTTGTTACACAGTAACCAAAAAGCACCCGCGACTAGAAGATGGTTTTAGCGACCACAATTCTGATTTTTCTTTTATTTTTTTCACTTTTTTAACTTCTCTATGGTGTCCTCGATCCTGAACCTAAGTCCAGCTTTTCAATCTCTTTAGAACTAGATGGTCTTGGTCGAGACTTCTCATAATGAAATATGAGATTTGAATATTTATGACCAAGATTTCTTCTAAAACTTTTAATTTGAGTTCTTTACAAGAGGTAAATTTATAAAGTATTTGTTTTTTCCTTTCCTTTATAATATGAGATAAATATCATTTTAAAACACTTTTTCCATCACATTTTATTTATTATCTATCTAGACTATCTTTTTTCAAAATATATATATATATATATATATATATATATATATATATATATATATATATTAAAAAATAATATAAACTATTTTTTTAACTAAAGAAGTATTAAAAAGTAATATAAAATTATTTATGATTCTTCATGCTCATGATTTTTAGTTTTAAGCATGGCTTTGGTAATTATAATAATTAAGGGAATTGTTGGATATATTGTCCAATATCTGGTATTTTAAGTACATTTAAATCTTTTTGTACTAAAAGTTTTGCTCCAATGGGGTATTATGTGAGTATTCATCTTCTCAGTCAGTAACTTTTATTGTTTCTGCGAGTATTCATCTTCGCACTCATGTTTTAAAGGATGAGCTCTTTGACAAATGGATTTATTCTTTCATAATGATATTTGGGATTTAAATTGGAAAAAAAAATTATGAAAGAAATTTATTATAATTTAAATGGAAATGTGGTATGGATGGCCAATCTAAACCAATTTTTTATTCAAATAAAACACTTAATTTTCGAAAAAAAGAAGTTGTTTTCCTTGTTGTACATGACTTTTTTTTTCTTTCCCTAAAAGCTGGAAAAGATTATGATTTTTTAATATATATAATTTCGATTAGGGACATAAAACCATTAAAAGAATAAAAAATTTATTAATTTTTTTTTCCTTGAAAGCTTTATTTATTTATTTATTTTTTTCCCTTCCATCGTTCAAGAAAAAAAGTTCTAGTGAATCATAATCATGGGTTTAGATAACTCGTCGTCACAAAGGCCATCGAAGAATTCTCACAGGAGCACGCATCGACTTTAACATTACCATAGTATTTCAAATATAAATAAAGATAATATGAGCTATCATAAATTGCTTGTTTGGAAAACACCAAGACATCATCACCCATAACAATTGTAAATTTTGTGACAATTGGTTTTTGATTGTCAAGTCATTCTTGACTTAAATAGGATAGAATTGGTTGGCAAATGAAACTTGCATGAAATAATTAACCCTAAAGATATGAATAACACCTCCCTCTATATGTAAATATGGCAGAAAATGTGGCGGGTGTTGTTATCTAGGATGCAACGTCATACTTAATTAGCTATTTTTTAATCTCTTTTTATTTCTATATAATATTGACTAAGCATTTTGATTATAGACATGAATCTTTTCTACAAGAAATTTTAAAATACATCGAAGTAATTAATAACAATTACTTCATAAATTCATTTTAAGGAGGAAAAAAAATCATATTGATATTTACTAAAAATGACAAACATATTTCCACATAATCTTTTTTTTTTTATTGTTCTCTTATTTTTGTGTCTAACTCTAAGTAAGTATCATTAGTTATTGCTTAAAAAAATCTATTAAATCAGAATTTGTATAATTTAAAGATTTCGGTGTGATTCTTTTGATGTGCATGGTATAGTCGGCTAGGTTGCAGCAAACAAGTTGTTTTTTCTTTCTTTATATTTAGTGTATTGGGAAGAAAATTTAGCATAAATTTGCATTTTGAGGAATGTGGTACGCATGCATGTATATATTTATACTTGCCCGAATATTCAAAACTCACGCACTACATCAATTTCATATGGATTTAGGTTAGGGGTGCCTACTCGCTTTTTGCCCCATTAAAAATAATAGAGATAAATATGAGCTAAGACATCAATTTAGAAGAATGCGAAAGGTTATATATATATATATATATTGCTTTGGTATTTTTATTTTTATACTAGATAGTCAACATGACTCACTTAATCATGGATAAGGGCACTAATGCTTTTACATTTGATAGAAGAGAAAAGGAGAAACAGGAAGTGAAAAAGAAATTATATCTTGTATATTATTCTTTATTGCTCCAATTGATTACGGAAAGTCCATCTTAAATACAAAGAAAAAATATCTAACATTTATAACTATATCTTACATAAAATAGGAAAGTCAACTATATTTCATTGTAAATGGTAAAGTCCCCTAATTAAGGTGCTAAAATAGAGAATAATTAAACTAGGAAAGTATCTTAACATATCAAATTGTGTCACTCCCCTCAAGTTAGAGGGTGCAAAAATAGTGAGCACACCTAACTTGGAAAGATGATGAACGAATAAATCCTGTGCCAAAGGCTTGGTGAGCATATCAACGGTTTAGGATTGAGTAAAGATGTGGGCCAGAGAAATAAAACCTTGTTGCAATTTTTCATGGACCAAATGAGCAAATGGCAATCTAGTTCAATGTGCTTGGTGCATTCATGATAAATCGAATTAGAAGCTACATGGACTATCATAATGCAACAGAATGGGAAACGACAAATGAACGGACAAATCAAGGAGTAAATTCAATAACCAAGTCGAGTTCACAACAAGTGGATGCCATGGACCAATATTCAGCTTCAATAGAGCTGCAAGAGACAATGGATTGTTTCTTAGTTTTCCATGAAATGAGGGCACTACCTAAGAGGATGCAAAAGCTATAAATAGATCAATAAGTCATTGGACAAGGTGCTTATTCATAATCATACTAACCGAGTTAATGTTAAGGGATTATTTGATAGGAATAGCAAGCATTGACCAATAGATCCTTTGACGTACCGTAGTATCTTGCGAGCTACGTGAAGATGTGGTTTGCGAGGTGAGGTCATAAACCGACTAAGGATATACACAAGATAAGATATATCCGGCCAACTAACGATCAATTAAATGAGGTAACCCGAGTAGTTGGCGATAATGACTAGAGTCGACAACGAGAGCAACCGTGCAATTGTTCAATTTTAAATGTTGTTCCATCATAATAGAGCCGGGTTTGCAGCCAAGGAGATCAACATCATCAATAATATCCAAGTGCATATTTATGTTGACTAAGATGAATATCGGATGAGGAGCGAGCAATTTTAAGGCCTAGAAAATATTTTGTTAAACCGAGATCCTTGATTTGGAAGGCGGAATAAAGATGATTTTTGACTATATTGATTAATAGAGAATTGATCATTGTGACAATAACTTCATCCATATAGACAAGGAGAGGAATAAAATCTAGGCCACGAGTTAAAGTAAATAAAGAATAATCATAATAGAATTATGTGTATCCAAGAGATTGAAAGGATAAATAAAACTTGGTAAACCATTGTCGGCTAGCTTGTTTTAAGACCATAGAGAGACTAGATAAGCTTGCATACCAATGGCTCTTTCTTGGTATGAAACCTCGATGGAGGTTTCATGTATATATCTTTTTGTAAATCCTATGTAAAAATGCATTGTTCACATCCAATTGGAAAATTGGCTAGTCTTTGGAAGCAACTACTACAAAAAAAATATGTGAACAAGTGGTCATTTTAATAACCGGAACAAAAGTCTCTTGATAATCAAGACCCTCAACCTATGTATAACACTTTGCCACAAGATGAGCTTTGTACCTTTCCGAGTACCATTTGAGTTGAATTTTATTTTATACACCCATTTGCACCTAACAACATATTTCTCAAGTGGTAAAAAGGTTAACACCCAAGTATTATTATCTTTCAAAGCTCAAATTTCTTATGACATGGCATCTCTCTAATATGGATTTTGGATAGCCTTAATGTAATATCGAGGTTCGAGTGGGTATGGTTATTTGAGTGGCAAATGCTTTATAGAAAGTAGAAAGATTAGAATTGCTAAGATATATAAATAAATGATATGGTGTAGAAAAATTACCCGATTGAGGATTGGTGCTACCTTGTATTGAAGATGAGAATTGAAAAACATAATATTGGATCTAGGTAGGTGGTTTAATTGAGCGAGTGGAACGACATGGCTTGGTTATGAAGAGGTCAATAGTGGATGTCGGTGTTACGGGCTAGATGGGTAAGGATAGAGGTTGAGGGGGTAGATTTGTTACGGGTGTGAGACTGTGTGTGTGATTTAGAAAAAATAATGTAAAAGAAAGATCTAATGGGGATGAGGATGGGGAAAGGTCAACTAGAGAGATGGCCTATGGTGATAAAGGCTACCTAATCATGGTAATAGGGCTAGGATGTAGAGTGAGCCTATATGGGATAAGAGAATTGAGATGTGGAATGGATTGGAGTGGGTTTGGGTGGGCTAAATCAATGACGGCATGAGGCCGCTTGTTGTGGAGAGTGAGGGCTAGACTTGGAAAGTAGGTTGGAGAGGGTCGGGATAGGACTTGGAACAACTAGGGAAAGGTCTCGTAGTGGAGAAGTTGGGCCAAACATGGAAAGTGGGCTAGAAAGAGGTCGGGTAAGACTAAGAGTAGCCAAAGCATTTAAAGGCAAGATTGGAGAGGTTTACGGAGAAACAGAGGAATTGGTAGATGGCGTGTCTAAAGAAAGCGTTAATTGGGCATGTGGCAAAGGAAATCGATGGGTACTGTGAGGAGAAATCAAGAAAAAATCATCGACGAAACTCATTTACATCACTCGGGAAAAGGTATTTAGGTAAGTTTAGGACTATGGTGAGGGGAGAAAGAAAATATGGCTTTAGCAAAAACTACGTAATCGGTTATAAAATTTTGATTGGAATCTAAATAAAACACTTTGTACCCTTTTTGTATTAGTGGGTATCCAAGAAAAATATAGCGTATGGCTCTAGTGGTCAAATTTATCTCGACCATGGGTTTTGGTGGAGGAAAAGCGGAGGCACTGAAGACCCCGAGATTGGCAAAAGAAGGGATATTGGCATATAGGAGATCATAAGAAGTCTTGTGGTGGAGTAATGGAGGATGCAATTTGATAGTTAAGTGGTCGTCAACACACAATCTTCCTAAAATTCTAGAGGTAAGTTGGCTTGAAATGCGAGGGCTCGGGCTATAGAAAGGAGGTGTTGGTGTTTTCTTTCTGCTATCCTATTCGACTATAAGGTGTAAGGTTATGAACTTTGATGAATGATGCCTTTGTTTGCCGGAAAAGAGGTAAGAGTCCGATTAAAAAATTCTAACCCATTATCTCGTTATAAGGATTTTTGACTATTTTATTGAATTAAGTTTCGATCATGGTCGTAAAATGTTTGATAATTTATGGCACTTTTTTTTGGTTTTGATGAGGTGCATATAGGTATCTCGAGAGATGTCGTCTATAATTATGATGAAATATTACAAACTTGTTACGAGTTTCAACTCGATAGGGTCTTCAAACATCACAATGAACTAGATCAAAACACTAGTGGTAGATGAAGTACTTTTATTAAAGGATAAATTTTTCTCGTCTTACCATAGGGCATGCTTCACATACCGATGATTATGACTTTTTTATTTTAGAAATATAAGGGGACAAAGATTGCATTCTGAAATGTGATAAGTGACCAAGGTGATGATGCCACAACCGTTGAGAGGTGCTAACGAGTTGATGGGTGCAACGGAATTGATAGGACTTTTAGAAAGGGTTGGATGCTTCTGAAAGGGTGTACGGACCCTCAATTTGTTTGCCAATCTCCAAAATATTTTTCAATACAAGGTCTTACACCAAATAATAATCGGTAAAAAATTAGACCATAAACTTGAGATATCTAGTCGGTTTGTTTATAGATATCAAATTGTATTTAAAACTAGGTACACATAGATCATTTTGGAGTAATATTGCATCACTTAGTTGTATGGTGCCTATGTGGGTAATATCGGTATGTGTTTCATTAGGTAGACTAACATGGGGTATATAAGTAAATGGTCCGATGGTTGTTAATGTATTGGGGTTTGGACGGATATGGTCAATTGAGTCACCGTCTAAAATCCAAGTAGAAGAGGCAATAACCTTTGAATGAGCAAAAATGAAACAATATGAATATTTACTTATGATGGTTTCGTCGAGTGTTTTATCTCTAGATGTTTTTAGTATAGATAATAGCTGCTGAAGTTGGTCCCGATCGATTCTAGTGGTGGCCAAATTAGCGGAATGGGTGCTTGCTCTTGTTGAATTACTAGAATTAGGCTTATTGCCTTTGTGTAATCTATGTCCAGGAGGATATCCCACTAACTTGTAACATTCCTTTTTTGTATGTTCTAGTATGTTACAATTCTCGCATCTCACCTTTCTCTTACTATTGTTTTTTGCCAAATTTTTGTTGGTATTCGATTGTAATTGGACAAAAATGCCGAGCTTTCTACGATAAGATCCGACCTCGTATAGCCGAGTAATTATCATTTAAGCCCATTAACATCTATATAACTTTCTCGCTCTTGTTGGTATTTTTCAAGTGCCTTTGATGCCTCACAGACTACATTTGATGACATTGTAAGTATAGGTTGGAAAAATGGTGAAAGAATTCAATTCATCCCATAGACTCTTTAATTTAATATAATAAATGGATATGGTAGCATATCCTTGATCGAGGGAACATATCTCTTTTTGTATGCTAAAAATTCTAGGTCCATTGTTCATAGAATACATGTCACTTAGATCTTTCTAGATGTATGCAACTATCTCTCGTATACACGACACCATTTGAAATGTCCTTGCTTAAGACATTAAGGAGCCACACAAGTACCATATAATTGCATTAATCCCATTAGTCTATTAGAATTGAATCTTCTAGTAGTCTTTTGCGAGTTTCGATCGCAACTTTATCTCGTATATTATTTCTTATTGTTCTAATTGATTACGGACAGTTCATCTTAAATACAAAGAAAAAATATCTAACATTTATGACTATATTTTACATAAAATAGGAAAGTCAACTTTATCTTATAGAAAATGGTAAAATCCCTTAATTAAGTTGCTAAAATAAAGGAATAATTAAACTAGGAAAGTATCTTAACATATCAAATTGTATCAACATTTTTCAGAATCCCTTGTAAGTTATAAAAGAACCCATTTCTTAGCACAAACTCTGTTATAAAATGATTGAATGCCGTGTAGATGTTTTATAAGTATATTATTTGTTATGCTCTGTGTAACGAGGGCATTTTATACAATTGACAATAATTATATTACTACTAGTTCAATAATGTATTCATCAAGTTAAATTTGGACACTACAACTAAATAAAATCTAATCAATTAATTTGATTAATAATTCTTCAAGCTCAATATCCTTCATCGAACCCTAGTAATTTTTGATATTGTAATATATTAACTTCAATTTCAAAGAATTAATAGCCTAAACATGGCCATTTATTTTACTTAGAAATCAATTCAAAATGTCAACTTTTATGATATATATGAAACATGGTATTTTAAGAGAATATGAGCCGATTATTGAAAATATTACAAGGCATTAATTGAAAAAATAGAATACAGTAGAATAAATAGAAATATCAATTGAAAAATAGAATAGAATAATCTGTTATCCTTGTAATTAGTGTTCTTAAGAGTAAATCACGTTTCTCAAAGAATATTTATTGGTGGAACAAGTTAAAGGTGACTTATCTTTCAAAATATAACAATCAACTGTATACAAGCATGCACTCGTAATGTATATGCACGTGTGAATGTTCAATCCCACTCCTCGAAATGTAATTGTATTTGAAAACTTTAAAAAACAAAACATTATTTTTTTCAAATAAAACATCATTATTTTATTTCTCTTCTCATACCAAATATTCAATAATTTTATACTGATACAAGGTGAGAATAGATAAAAAAAAATTAATTATCAAACTATTATTAATTTTAATAAATTTACAATGACTACTAACGATTATATTATGGCTAGTAATGGTTCTAATAAGTATTAATAAAAATAAAAATTATTTAATAGCATAATGATTAATTATATTTATACTATTGTAATTATTCTTTTATTTAATTGGCAAAGAGAATTGTGTTTAAAAGCATTTTTTACCAAAATATTATTATAAATTATAAATAAAACTAGAGTAAAACCATAATTTACTATTCATTCACTATTTAAAATACTATTTACTTAGACTTATTTTACTATTTACACGGACTTAGATTCATTGTTCATTTCACTATGCAATGACATTTTTGTAGTTTTTAAATATTTTTACTACATTTATTATGAAAATTTTTGCAACATTGCATTTCGGTCCCTCTTTTTTAAATATGATTTTTTCAATCCACAAATATTTTTTGTTTGGTTATGGTCCCTCTTTTTTGTTTTATTTTAGTCACTTTGGTCCCTTTTTTCTCTCGTTTTTTAATAAAAAATTTGAAGGCAAAAAAATATTTTAAAAAATTATAAAATAAGTTTTTAGCTAAGAATCTATTGATTTTGACACTCTTTATACTATTAAATAATTTTTTTGATAAAAAAATTTATTTAAAATATAAAGAATAATTAGTCAAATATAAAATTTTGATTAAAAAATTTATTCATTTTTGATTTGATGTATTTTAATAGACGCATAATATAATATGGGATATCAAAATGAAATAATTTTTAAGAATAATTTTATGTATTTTATCCGAACCATAGCATTACGTGGATAAAAAATCTAGCTATTTCCTAAGAGACAACGCCACCATTTTATTTCTATCTTCGTACCAAATGTTTAAAAGTATTTATACTTATATAGAAATAAAATAAATAACAAATCAATTATTAAACTATGATTTTTTTTAATAAACTCACAAATAATAGAAAAGATCATATAATTATTAGTAATGATTGCAATGATTATTAATAATAGTAATTAAAATTATTTCATATCATAATAATTAATTGTATTAATATTATTATAATTTTTTTATTTAATAGCAAAAAATACATATATAAAAAAAGCCTATTATTATTATTATATTTGAAATGGCAAAGATAGAAAATAAAAATCTCAGTCTTAGAAATGTCACATCTCAAAATTCTAATCAACATGATACACGTCGCGCCTTACGCCATCCCTTTTGGTATATAATAAAATAATATAATATAATAACTGGTCTTCATCTAGGGAAGGAATGGGCTACAACTAACCCACCTCCATTGGTTTTTCTTATTCACAGATTTTGTTCCTATGACATTTTACAGAAGAGGAAGCCCTCAAGTCCTACTGCTAGGCTATATAAACTTGGTAGGATTTGGGCTCTATCACATTAAAAGTTGGGCTGGTGAACTCTTAGATGCCCATTGGACTAGTAAACTCTATAGATTCCTGAAAATCCTAGAATACCCAAAATGGACTCTAGCTCAGATGGGTCATTCAAGCCCATGCTGTTCTTCGATTCCATAGCTGCTTTCTTTCGCCCCACTGAAAATTAGAATATGATAAGAGTTTTGACCAAAATCAGTCCATAATTCAACAGCCAGCAATCAATTTGGAAAATAAGGGGCAAAGTCCCATGGAATATGAGACGATCTTGAACCAAGCCGCCGAACCAGGCTTTACTTAATCAGCACCTGAAGCCCAAGTTTTTAGTTTGGACATCCGAGATTGTTATTAATTCCTTATGGGTAGAATTTTTCATCCTTTAAAACTTTAATGGAAGCTCAAGAATTATTATTATTATTTATTAAATATCTTTATATCATATTGAAAATATCAATAATTCTATTTGGAGTGGGATGGATAAAATTTTATTTTTCTTAACAAATGTGATTCTAATTCGTCCGGAGATCAACTTACTTACGACTGGACGTTGTTGGTAATTATTATTATTATTTTCATGACAGAACTTGGACAACTAAGTTGGCAGACCGAAATATTGAAAATGTATAAGACTGCACCATGTGATCGTTGTATAGGACATGAAGCACATAACCAAATCATTTTTCCCAGGAGATGTAGGAAGGTAGTTAGATGGGGA